TAGGAAAAAAAAGCAGTTTCCTGTTATAGAGCTATGCTGAGGAAATTAAGTGCTCAGATACTACAGTAACAGAGTCATAAAATATAGATTGCTTGACTCTACAAAGCTCCTGTAAGACTGGTTTGCCCTCCATGAAACTTCTCTATTATAGACAAGGCTATCTTAGGAACAAAGACAAGGAAATACAAAGAGTATTTATTTCCTATTTAATAAAAGATATTTTAAAAACAACTTCAAAGAAAAAATAATTTTCTCTTTTAATTCCTTGAGGATAGTGTTGGGGAGAGAAAGAAACGAATGTCGGCTTTGTTATTTTCAATGTATTTTGAAGCCCCTCAATGCTAAACGGAGTGATGAAACAACCAAAACGTAACACTAAACACTAAAGAAAGCTCCTTGAATAGTCAAGGTTCAGGAATTCCCCTGCCTAAAACTTACTTCAGCCTACTGAAAAAAAAGGTGGTGCACAGAAGTCCTCCATCTCAGCAACGTCTCTTAAATTTGCTCTTTTTGGCTAGGGACAGACATTTAAAAAGCCTGAGCCTGAATTGATTCAATCTTTGTAGGTTAGCTTAACCTCAGCAGATAGAACTGATTTGCAAGTAAATGGAGATGCGCTTTTGATTCCGGAAATGCAGGCACATGCCTGCAGTGGCTCAGGCTAGAAGCTGGGGGAGGTGGGGGGGGGGGGAAGCGCTAGAGTGAGCCCTCCCTTCCTTTCAGGCAAGAGGGAAGCTGAATGAAGGGGGGCCTGGCCAGGCCCCACCAGGCTGAATGTGACTGGGAAGCTGTAGGGGTATCACCTCACACCTGGTACACAGGGCCGTGCTGCGTCTATGGCTTTCATGCTGCTACCACCTAGAGCGTAGACGCATGCTGGACAAGCATGGCCCCCTAAGGGAAAGGGAGGAGGGAAGGGGTTTACTTCCCTCTCTGTCCTCTCCCACCAGGGATCTGCAGTCAGGGTCTGCTAGCCCTGGCTGCTGCCTCTGCCATTCGCACCCAGCCAGGCAAACCCCACCTGTGGTCCCCCTGGGGGAGAGGGTGGAATAAACCCCTCTCTATCCTCCAGCCACTCCAAAATTCAGTTTAGCCACTGTAACCACCCCTCCGAGCTCCGCCACTATCGCCTGCCCTGAACAGGCTACAGCAGCTCTGCTCCCCGCTCCTGCCTGCAGCACAGCTCCCCCAGTGAGAAAGAGGCTTGCACGCCCCAGGACACCAATCCCCCCTTCGCAGGTCCAGCAGCAGGAGTGGGGGTGTGGCCAGACACAAGGTGGCATGACCCCCTGAGGTGAAGGGGACAGGGAGGAGGTTTATTCCCCCCTCCATCCTCTCTCCCCCCAGACAACCCCAGCCAGGATCTTCCTGGCTAGGTATGAATGGCAGAGGTGGCAGCTGGAGCTGGCAGACCCTGGCTGTGGTCCCCTGTGGGAGAGAGGACAGAGGGGGAATAAACCCCCTCCCTATCCCCTCTGCCTTAGGGATCATGTCAGGCTGGAGTATGGCCATGCCCCAGGCAGCGGCAGCGGGGAAGCTGTAGGTGCAACACAGCCCTGTGTAACAGATGTGGGGCGCTACCCCGATGGCTTCACCGCCACCATCTGCCTGCCTGGCAGCTGACCACAGTTTGGTGGTGCAGGCAGTGCCTACCAGTATGGCCAGGGTGGGCCCCCTTTGGTGGCAGGGAAGCCACAGGGGCTGTTCTGCATCGCTGCACCTGGGTAGGGAACTGTGAGTAGGACATGCCCAACTTAGCACCCAGCAGCCAAAAGTAATAGGGCTCAGGACTGAGGGTGGGGGGGGAGGGGGTCAGCCCATTCCATGCACGCTGCTGTGGGGACCGGGGCTGGCTCAGGCCCTCCTTTCCAGCAGGTAGAAGGGGCCACCAGGCAAGAGCTGCTCCCCCAGCTGCATGCTCAGCTGAATCTGCCCCAGGCTAGCTTTGTGCTGGTGGGACCGGGAGGGGGGGCCAGGGCTGCTACACATTGGCCAGGCAGAGCCCAGCTATGGTCCCTAGGAGTTCCATAAACCAATTTGACCCAAATCAGTTAAGTCTGATACTACCTTCAACCAAGTTTATCTTAAACCGGTTTTGGCCATTCTGAAACTGGTTTATGTGCACTGAACTTATGTTTTGTTACAGGTTTAAGCCAATTTCTGATCACTCAAACCAGTTTGTGTTTAACTTCTGTCCCTAGCCCTCGAGACTAAATCTATGAAAAACCACACCCCCTTAGTCAAAATTTCATAACAACAGAGAGATTTCCAGCACTTTTCTATACTTAAAATTGCATCCCTCTGCAGTCATAAGTTATCTCAATACAAGCAAGTATATGCAAGTGTCAGGGTTCAGTCTGGCTGATATTATATCCTAACCATAGTTCTTTGAATTTGCATGAGCACTGTAGTGGTCTTAGCACTTGTATAACAACATAGTGTTTATTCAAGGCTGCCTGATCATGAACCCATATTTATTTAGTCTGATGTGGCACAGAAGTACAATAATCAAGGCATTAGAATCCATCATGGCCAGTCTTGACATGTCACAGCTTTTCACTACCACTGAGAAAAGGCAGGAAACAAGTGCCACAGTAGTGAAGTACAGGAAAACAGGCTTAGAAAGAAGTTGAAGGACGTTAAATTAAACAGGTCTGAAAACAGAACACAGACGTGTGGAGAGGCACTATACATATTAAAATGGCTGCTATTTGAGATCCAGGCTGGTCTTTACATTAGTTGTGTAGTTACTAGAGTGTGCATCTATACAGCTGCCTCAGGAATACCGATTGCTTTTCATTCAACAAGACAATTCAGCTTTGCCCCTTACTCACTGGAGAGAGATATGCTCTGTCCTACAAAGTGCTCTGCTCTTCATCCAAGAGCCTAGCCAGACAGGGCTCTAGAGCAGTGGTTCTCAACCTTTTTCATACCAGGACCTATTTGTAAACATCAACAGCCAGTCCTGAGCCAGTGCCCCTCACTCCTGACCCACTGGCTTCCACCCCCAGGCCCCAGCATGTGGGATGGGAAATGAGGGAGGCTCCAAGCATGCCCTGGAAGACTGGCACTCTGCCAGCCTGCAAGAGAAAAGCCACCGTCTCCCATGTTTTTCTCCTTTAAAGGAGAATCCAGTTTAAGTTTGTTCGCAATCATTTTATGTATTCTTGCAACCCACGGGTTGAGAAACACTACGAAGAGAACAGGGAGAGACACTCCCCCTATATTATCTCCACATGAAGAAAAGTCAAATGTACTGAAGAAGTCTCAGCTCCAAACCCATGAAAGGGGATGGCTTTTCTGGGATGCAAAGCAAGATGTCCAGACTGACAGCTGCCTTGATTAGCAATTTAGCCAGGGACCACAAAAAAGAGGAAAGAAAAAAGGAAAAAAAGAAAAGGGGGCTATCATAATTATGAAATCCTAGAGAGGAAATGAGGGTAAGAACTGGAAAGAAGAAATAAAAGCAAGTTACTTGAAGGATGATCCTACTTTCAGAAGTGACTGAAAAATAGCCAATTTTACAATCTCTCAATGGTTTCTATGTCAGATGTGCTCAGTTTACAAATAGAACGTTTGTCAGCAGCAAGTCAGGCATCCTTCCTGTTCAAAGTCATCAGCTCCCATTGAGGAATCTGGCAACTGTGGATGCCCAGCAGTTCTTAAAAACCAGACCACCTCTTTAGGGGATTATTATTTAAATAGGAAAGCAGGTGTCTCATTATAGGCATGAATATCTAAATACACATTCTTTGCACGACCAAACACAATGTTTTATAAATGACTAATTCTTGCCCATTTTAACTATAGTGGATTTTTTTCCTCTCTCCACTTCAGAAAAGTGGCAAAAATCTGACAGTTCTTATCATGCAACCAAGGTTCACAACATACAGTTCACTATGGCACAGATGAACCACTGATCAAGATCAGTTTCAAAGCCCATTAGGTTTTTTGGCCCCGGTGAGTCCTAGTGCAAGGCCTGAGGCAGCTGGAACTATGTTCTAATGTCAGACCCCCTCCTAGGTTAGTTTATAGGCATTGCTCTTTGTCAACATTATTGTTTAACTTCACCAGCTCTGCATCCTATATGGTTTAATTGTGTTAAATATTTTTCCATAGCAATCAGCGTGTCATATGGGAATACTATTAGTCAAGCTGGAGAAAAATGGGAATTAGTACAAGGAGCCAGCTACAGGGGAGACAACCCTAGGTAACATCTACAGGGGAATGCTCAGGCTGGAATGAATTTATAAAGAAAAGTTTTTCAACGACTGGCTTCGGGACGGACGTCAGCGGCATGCTCAGCAGCTGTGACCCAAACAGTAGGATCACGCTCAGAGCAACACACTGATGGAAAAACTCAAAAGGCCTGTGGCTCGCCCTGACTGTACAAGTGAGAAGATGGGTAGGGATGAGGCAGACTCTACCCTTCAAGGAGAGGAAGGAAACCAGTAGGCTCCAGCTGGGTACTTTAGAAAATAGGGCAGATTTGCACCTTATAGACCAGCAGTGCCCAATCTTTCCACCCCATTGACCAGAAGGGCGGTGCAAGGTCTATCTGCAGGACAGTGGGCTTGACCTGGTATGCAGGGCTGATGTAGTAGGAGTCTAATACAGCTGCGGGGGGGGGGGGGGGG